CCTCAGCTGGTGCATTCCCTTCCACAGGCCAAGGAGAGTGAGTCCTGACAAAGCACCCTACTTCCAAATGCCACTGAACTCCCGTGTCCATAAGCCAGATCAAGTGGCTCCATGAGTTGGATCCAGGCCTCAGGCCAGTTTGCTGACCCCAAGGACAGCTGACCTCTAGGTCTATCTTGTTCATGTTTACACATGAGCAGAATTATTCAAGGGGCATCCCTCTGAGAAGCTCTGCAGTATAAGAGAAAACTCCCTAATGTGCTAAAGTTCTGGTCCATCACCACACATGCAAAATATGCACATGATTTTTTTTCTGGAAGATGTATATGATCTGAAGAGAAACTAGCATTTGGACAAATATTAAAGAGCTTGGAAACAGATGAGGAAGTGGTGGGCTTGGAACAAGAGGGCAATATTTAAATTATATTCAAAGATCAACAATTACACTAGGGAAGGGACTTATTAGCAGTCTTAGTAAGAAAGACGGTGAGTAAATATGCTGAATCACCCCACTTATAAAAAGGCAAAATGTTGCAGCTTCTGAAACAAGATCAAAAGAATCTTTTACAAGGGAAAGTGTTAGACATTCTAAATACAGGATTTACTTCCAACTCCCTGCAGGATAAAATATGGCTATATGCTGGTAGCTAGTCCAAAAAAAACAATAATGACTTTCAACTTAATTGTGTGTCATATTGCTTCTTCTACTGTATATGTGGATATTCTTCTATTTTCAATAGTTTATCTTTTTATTCATCTAATTAAATAGGAAATGTGGGAAATTTCAAACATGATTCCTCAGTTTAGTAACAGATGCTTCTTAAAATATTTAAAACTTTAAAGTGTAATGAAGCCTTCAGTGATGTTCTGGTTTGTTGTATAAATATTTATTTAACACACATTCTGGGCAATGTTCTGTCCTTCATTTTTCCTGCAGAAAAAACTTAAATGGCAATTCTTTTTTCTTCAGGGATGGAGCAGTATATGGCTACTACAGCAAGCAACATCTTCAGATATGCCGGATTAGTGATTGTTAAACCTGATAAGGAGATAGCAGAGGCAACTGTTGTTCCCTCATGCCTGGGGACTTTTCTTGTTAAGAGAAGCTGAGAGGAGTTGGAGGCAGCATGTGACCATTAAATAATTCTTTAAATGCATTATTGTAATTAAAGGAATGTATTGTGTAAATTCATTATTGTAATTACAGAAAAATAATGCATACATACAAAGGTCATGTCCACATGAGTGTGGGCATTTGGTTCCTCAGGGACAACTAGCAGTAGCACACCTTGTGCCGCTGCTAGTTGTCCCTATGCCTGTGCCACGTGCCCTCTGGCACACGGCAGGTTACCCTGGGTGGGGTAGGAGAGGCTGGGGCCAGCACTGGGCTGGCCTAAGCAGCCTAACCTAGGGTCCTGGGGGCCTCCTGGGGCTGAAGCAGCAGTGATCCTGCTGCTCGGAGCCTGGCCGGCAGCTGCACTGTGAATTCGGCAGGCTAGACTCTAGTTTTGAGTGGTGCACATTGCCTCCGCATGCACCACTCCACTTTTTTTTGTGATAATTTTTTTTATCCCTGGTTAAAAAAACCCTTGCACTGCTCCCTTGCAGCGCAGAGAACAGCTGAATGTGCAGTATATGGTGCTGCAGATGTGTCTACGGTACCACATACTGTATGGCCACGCTTGCTATTTTGCCCATATGGAACAGCCTTTGGAGCTCCGTAAGGATTTTTAAAAGTGTATACACATTTTTGAAAACATGTTTTAAGTACCTATTTTTCAGACCTCCCCCACCACTCTACCATAACTTTTCTGGGTCACTTTAAATTTGGACTAAGAACTGCCTAGCAGCTACATGTTATTGTACATAAAACATTTATATTAGAAAGGACTTTTGAGAAAGTATGTTAGTAAACATATTATCTTGTTATGAAAAGTGCATCTCTGAAGAGGCAACTGCATGTTGACAATGAACATATACGAAAATAAAACATATGGTAGCTAAGTGTTAATCTATCCTACACAGTACTTATTAAAATGCTCTTTTAATTCAGTCTTTGCAAAGGGTTTTAAATTACTGGGCTTGGTATTCTCCAAACTCTCCATTAGATCTATTCAGTGTAACAGCATTGCTTCCTCATTTAAACTGGTATAAAAATCCCTAAGTTTTAAGGAACAAGAAAGGTCTGGTTCTGTTTAAGCATATTTATTAATTTAATGGTATTGTTTATATAGCTTAAAAATATTTTGGAAACAATCCTGTTTGTTCTAATATGCAGCAAAGTGCTAGATACGTTGATATCCAATCTTGAACCTTCCATGTAGCAATTTTTTTGGTGATGGTTTTTATACCTCTAGACCTGGCTTGTCCAACATATGGCTCCCAGGCTGCCATCCAGCCTGCCAAGCTGTTTTCTGAGGCCCAAGATGTCATAGATTTCATAGACATTTGGGCTGGAAGGGACCTTGGAAGATCGAGTCCAGCCCCCCACCCAAAGGGCAGGAAGTCAGCTGGGGTCACAGGATCCCAGCAAGATAAGCATCCAATTTGCTCTTGAAGGTGTTCAATGTACATACTTGAACCACCTCCAATGGCAGGCTGTTCCAGACCTTGGGGGCTCAGACAGTAAAGAAATTCTTCCTTCTGTCCAGCCTGAAACAGTCTTGCAGTAGTTTATGACCGTTCGACCTCGTCATCCCTTGGGGCGCTCTGGTGAACAAACGTTCCCCCAGATTCTGGTGGTCACCCCTGATAAACTTATAGCTGGCCATCAGGTCACCCCTGAGCCTACACTTTTCCAGGCTAAAGAGCCCCATGGCTCTTTAAGATGCTGCGACGGGAAACAAAAGTAAACACTGTTTACTTTCAGTCCCACCCCTTGTCCCTCCCCCAACCCCTCAGCAGCTTCCTAATGGCTGCTGAAGGGCTGGGGAAGGGACAAGGTTACCAGACACAGCCTGCAGCGAGCAATGCCCCACCACAGGGCCTGGGCACACACGTGCTCCCTTGTGCCCGAACGACTTACCGGGAATCCTTGAAAGCAGGCAGAGGCAGTGGCAGGGCTCAGCGGCGGACGCAGGGCCGAGGCGGGAATGGCGGGGCGGCGTGGGCATACACGGCCGCCGGGGCAGCAAGGCAAGCAGCGGTGGAGCAGAGGGCAGAAGCGGGGGGTGGCATGGGTACACGTCGCCACTGGGGCAGTAAGGCAGGCAGCGGCGGAGTGGAGGGCACTTTTCCTGCACATCCCAGGGAGGCTGTGGCTGGAAGGATGAGGAGGAGCCCAGACTGGGGCTCCCATGCATGGCAGTGGCTCTCCCCACCCCGCTCCACTCTGTGCCTGGCTGCAGCTGTGGCTGTGCCCAGCTGAGCTGTGAGTCTCTCTCGCAGCCTCTCGGATGCACTGAGCCCCCACTCCCTCCCTGCCCACCCGTTCCCTGCAAGGCAGTGAATGGTGGAGGCTGCAAAGCACCGCGCAGGTGTCTCCCACCGAAACACATCCCTCCACCTTTGATTAGTTTCCACTCTGGCTGATATCTTTTCCACATTTGATCTGTCAACTAGCATTATGCTTCTTTCATTATGCATTATGCAAAAGTGTTTATTTTAGTCAAGTGTTTGGTATAATTTCATTGTTACTTTTATATTGTTTTTATTTTGGATTTTAAATCACACTTCCAGACCCATTTCATTGTCACTTCCTGAAACTACATTGGTGTCAAAGGTCATGTGACATCACTTCCTGATGTGATACCGCTTCCTGTGAGGTCTTTGAATATGGCTCACCAGCCCACTGGGTGATAAAAAGTTCATGATCCGGCCCCACATTCAAAATGGTTGAACACCCCTGCTGTAGACCCTTCACATGAGAGATACAATACAAGTATTAGTAGAGATACAATGCAAGTAAATGGTTTATTGTACATACTTCAAAAGAGCTCTACAGCACACCTTCAAAACATTTGATATAATAGTCTTTTAACAAAACAATATAAAAGGAATATGGAGAAAGAATTTAAATATATAACCAATAGTGATTCTTAGAGTTAATGGAACATTCTTATATAAAAATACCAGCAACTGAGTGTTTCACATTGTCTTTTTAATTTTATTCTCTCCCAAACTGGGAGATCATTTCAGGATGGGGACAAAAAAATAACCTCACTTCAGTCATACCAAACACAGCTTATGCCACTGCAATATATGTTAGCTACTTGATAGACTGCAAAAATCAGTCCAAAGATTTAAAAAATAATAATTCTGGATAGATTTAAACAGGTTTAATCTTATAATTTTTGTGTTAGTTAGGATATAGTTGGAAACTTTATATTTCAACTTCAAAAGTCACATAAGCAAATAAAAACATAGCAGAAGGCAACTTTTTTTAAAGGAAGAACAAACCCTAACTTTATTTTTATTTATGCTAAATAGTTTCCTTAGTCTGTTTAACCAATGCATCAATTTTTCATCCATTCTACCAGCACAAGGGGCATAGGAGTCAGAAATTTCAGACTGCTTCTGCAGGTTTTATTAATGCAAAAATGGATCTACTTGAGTTGAATTAGCTGTCCCCTGCAGTCCCATATAAAGGGATACAACTTCCTGATAATGTTGTCACTTACCATCTTATCCCACCATAAGGAATATTTCCTTAATTTGTACTGCAGTATCACTGGGAAACAAAGAGGCTGTCCTGCAAAATTCCTTTTGACAGACCAAAGACTATAGGGTATAAAAATGGAGAGAAAAAACTATTAAGAACATTGCAACCTGAATAAAACTGGGAGCTAAGTTATCCACTTCCCTTGAAAAATACTTGAGTATTACGTGGAATGACCAGAAGGCCAGTTAGAAGCAAATGAAGTTTCATAGGTTCATAGATTGTGAGGCTGGAAGGGACCTTGGAAGATCAGAGTCCAGCCCCGCCTGCACCAAGCAGGAAAGACAACTGGGGTCAGGTGACCCCAGCAAGGTTGTACAACGTTGAATAGATTCAAACAAACTTTGCAATTTTAATGTATATTTGTTTAATAATATAACAATAAATAAGAAACCTAGATTTTATATACTGCTGTCCATCAACAGATTTCAAAGCACTTCACAAATAAAGTAAATAGCATTTTTCTCCATTAACCTTATATTACTAATGTAAAAATCATTTTTCTCTCTAGAATTTCCTCTCTACTTCTGCTTTATCTAGCGCTTGCCTGCTTCTTCTGGCATCACCTTGTCTGTAGAAGAAACAAGAACATGAAAATAAGGCACCAATCAGGTGCAGCATGCATCCTATATTTGCAATATACATGGAGGTGGTAACACCAAATTAAAGGGGGCCTTTTTATATACTCTGAGGACAGCCTTTTGGCCTTTGCTTTTTGTTAGGTTTAGTCAGACAGCACATTGTCATGAAATACTAAGTCTAGATACGGGAAGAGGCACAACCTTTAACACTTGTGATTTATACTGCACTACAGATTTCCTGTAACATGGTCAATGCAATAGCCATGCGTATTTATAAACTTATTTTTAAATCCACTAGAATCTTCTACAATCTGCTCATTTTCATCACAGAATATACTCAATGGACACCCTAAAAGTAAGGAAATTAACCTTTCATGAGATAATAGCCATAAGTAGTAGCCTCTTTCAATAAAACATTCAACCTAATTTCAGACTTTTAATAATTATGTAATCTAGACACTTCATACTTTAACAACATCATTTCACCAGACACCATCCCTTTCTATTCAACACAAAATACCCCATGGCAGTTGTTATTCCTCTCAGTGGAGCGCCGGTCAACATTGCATCTTCATGATCTCTTTTTAAAGTGAGTAAGGTGATGCCTTTTCAAACGCAAGGCCTGTCTGAAAGTTTTACCACAAACTGAACATTCAAATGGCTTCTATCCAGCATGCATTAAATAGTGTCTTTCAAGTTTTGAAGGTGACTTAGAAGTTTTAAAGCAGACACTGCATTGATACAACATCTTAACAGCTTCACTTTCTTCTGTACTCCCAGAAAAATCATACCAGTGACTATAGTGGCTTTCCTCTGTTTCTACTGATTTGCTACACAAATATGGCTGTGTGTGTCTATTGCTGGTATCAAGAACCAAGTCCCCAGACTCTACCTCAACTTTGATTTCAGCTGCTTGGTTTGGCTGCATCAGCTCAAATTCTTGAAAGCCAGATACCTGTGAAGGTTTTTGGGAATAACCCACAGGCTGAGAAGACTTAAATTCAATGTGATCTCCCTGATGATTGAAAAGTTTGTTCAGATTTTCAAATCCCACCTGGCAAACAGGGCTTTTATATGGTCTCTTTTCAGTATGGGTGAGCTGATGTCTTTTTAAGTGAGCTGACTGTCTAAATGTCTTCCCACAAACATTACAGGCAAAGGGCTTCTGTCCCGTGTGAATCAGATAATGTCTTTGAAGCTTGGATGAAGAAGGAAAGATTTTTTCACATCTGTCACATTTACACACTTTGTGTCTACTATGGATATTTTCAGTGGGAGCTGAAAAAGCACAGTGAAGTACTTCTGGATTATCAAAGAAACCATCATCTGATGAACCATAAAAAGAACCATCTTTATTATGCACTGAATCATCCATGTTTAACATGCTTTCGCCAGTAAGCATACTTTTTAAATTAATACCTAATTTGTGGGTTTGCAGGTGTTCTTGCCAGGGTAATGGCACAGTAAATGTTCTTTTCTTTTTATTGCTAATTGTCTTATGCATGACAAGCTTGCTGTGATAGTTCCTAGAAGCTTTAGAAGCATTCTGATCAGAACACTGTTCGCTTGCAGCAACCAGGTCATGACTTTTAAAGTGACTTGTTTTCATTATTTTTCTGTCAGACAGAGAAGAATCCAGTGCCTTTTCTCCAGTACACTTAAGCTTCATCAGGATTTTACTTTTAATGCTAGTTCTGTGCTTGTAGGCTGCCATGCCACTGTTTGAATTCCTGCCATCTTTGGGGTAAAAACATTTGTGCAAATTTAGAATGTGCTCCGTTTCAAAACACTGCTCACACACAGGGCACTGAAAAGGTACAATATAAATGGAGTAAACATCTAGCGGGTCAGTCTCCTGGGACTCATCAGCATTAACACTCTCAACATTATCCTTTTTCCTTTCCAGCAGGTTCTGTAGCCTGGGGTATTTAGGACTCTTTGCTTTATAAAGGGTACTCGAAAAAGTCTTATTTTTGGCATGGAGTTGCTTGTGCTTCAGGAGTTTGCTCTGTATCTTAAACCCCTTCTGACAAAAACAACACTGAAAAGGCCTCTCTTCTGTGTGTGTGAGCTGATGGATTTTCAGATGGGCTGACTGTCTGAAAGATTTACCACACAAGGAGCACGTAAAAGGTTTCTGGCCAGTGTGAATAAGCAAGTGTCTTTCTAGCTTAGATTGTGATGGAAACATCTTGTTACAGGTTTCACACATATGAGTTTTTTTCCTCCTCCTGGCACTACGCAGATGATCTGATTTTGTGCACTGATGTAGCATCCACCTCTCTTCTGTTGCAAATGATTTTTGGCAAATGGAATATCTAGACTTCCCGTACACCAGCCTATCTTGCTTGGTATCCACTGATTTTTTTGTTTGCTTAATATTACTCTGGTAGTTTTCATTATGAAGCTGCTGATGCTTTAAAAACGTGATCAAGTTCTTGAATTTTCTAAGACAAACATTACATTTGAAAGGCAGTTTATGGGTTAGCTGGTGTCTCTCCAGATGGACTAGCTGCCTAAAAGTTTTATGACACACGTGACATTCAAAAGGCTTTTGACCAGTGTGTATAAGATAATGCCTAGCTAATTTGGAAGGCGTTTCAAACTGTTTGTAGCAGAGATCACACATATATGGTCTTTTCTTGGGTATCCTGTTAGCTGTTACACACTGTTGTATTTTAAACATTTTTTAAAAGAAAAAAGTACTCCTATCCTTGTTGGTTTCTTCAGAAGAACACTTCAAGTGAGATCTTCAACAGCACACTAAGAAGGAAGGCTGTAGCAGCAGCAACTTATCTTGAAGAACAATTCTTGAATTCCCGTCCCTAAAACAGTAAAAAAGGGTATTATCTTAGATTATTTTAGTAGCTATTAGTGTGGTTTGCCATTTGAAAAAAACAAGAGATAATGGTTAACTAGAATAAGGTCAGTTTTACTAAGCTTAAAAAACTTCTTACTAACAGACCAATAACAAAAAACATACTGAAAAACACATTAAGGGAAAATGGACTATTCTACATAAGAAAACAGTCATCTGTTCTCTAATGAATATGCATTTAAATGCTCTTTCTTCAAAATAATTATACCAAATTTCAACTATAGTACAAAGAAAATAAAACGCTGTTCTATTTTTAAAGGTCTATATAGTTTACCCCACTACAGCTAGGAGTAACTGCTAGTTAGTTGTAAGAAGCTTTGTGAATAAAGGAGATGTAAAAATTAGAGATGGTAAGAACAAGAAAAAAACAGATAATCCTAGACCCCAAAATAATAATTAAAGGACTATAGCATTTTTGAGGAGTGCTAAATTACAAGGCCAGTAAATATGAACTTGAGAGAAGAGGTACCATTCACATTGCTGCACCTCACCAACATCTCAACTTAGTCTCTGAGGAGCACCACAGCAACCACTTCCCTGTAGGAAGAAAAGCACAGTTAAATGCAAGGTGACAGCCTCCTTGTGGAGGCTGCAGAGGGTGGAAATTAGCAAAATGTTAGAGTTTTGAGTGATATAATGACCTTTGCTCTCTCCCAACTGGCCTTTACGTGAACCAACTGCAGAGGAGTGAAGGTCTCTGTAATCCATTGTATCCCCCTTCTTCAATGAGTGTTACTATCTATGAAATAATTTCATGTTGTATACGTGAATGCTATCCACCATAATTTACACATATTCATCTTGTACACCAAGTAAACACAATATTTCATTAAAATATTTTCTGCTGAAAAGCAGGAAAATTAAGGAAGTCACTGTCGCTCAAAGCACTACTTCTAATCACCACATGTAGAAAGCACCCCTAAAAGTAATACTTCTCAACTGAGCTACTAAACTAAACTCGAAAGAAATATCTAAAAAGATATTTTGTGTTGAGAAAAAGCCTGCCATATTTTATGAGAGTTAGAAGGAAACAGGCTGTCCTTACACTTCCCACAGAGTACATAAAAGGTCTAGTGCATCAGAGATTGCTCAGAAGAACCATATTGAAAAGAAATCCAGTAGGATGTTTCCCTTTCTAACTGATATGACCCCATATTCTTTCTGGGATTCACATCAAAAGTTCCTGTACATCAAAGATGCTTTGTATCTGGATATATACATTTTTGTAGAGTTCTTTCATTTAGCAGACCTTAGAAATGCTACAGAGTGGATGTTGGCTTCTGTGAAATTTCCTTTCCTCTTTTCCACCCCATTTTAAATACTTCCCTGTTTCAGCCCTCCTGTCAAAATGCAAGACTTCCCAAAGCCAAACTCTTAGGAGATGCCCATCTCCCAAACTGCTGGTGCATTATTTCTTGGGATGCACAAGACATCAGCCTGTAAAATGCTGTCTAGTTTGTGCTAGATCAGTCACTGAGAGAACTGAGGTTTATATAGCCGCATAAGGGAAACCTAAGGGAAGGAACAGGCTGGGCCTTGCTAAGTACTTTTGGCTCAAAGTAGTTTCCTTCACCAGGAAAGGAAGAAAAGTAAAG